TTTAGCATCGAACACGTTTCTATCTTGGTAATTATCCCCAATTTTCTGTTCAGAAAATTCACAAAATACCACCGTTAATATTAAAGGTGAATGGTCAGAATGCCGTGTGATATCACCGACCCTAAAGTCTTTCAAAAAATCACCTGTTAACATTGAATCAGAAACCATCACGTAATCAACTGTACTGACACCTAATGCTATGCCATTACGTATTTGGAAACATGTGTATTTCCCCGGTATGTCTGTACCAAATCTTCCATTCAAAATTCTCATTCTAGTACTAATACACATATTTACCAATAATTCACCATATTTATTAATTACTTTGTCAATTCAATTTTGTCATCATTGACGTAATCGTCCGGCAATGGTAAATGATTTGTTCCATCTAATTTAACATAATCACACATGTTTCCAGTCCTGGCATTCATTATAAATGAAACATGAGATTTGATTGGTTATCTACAATATTTCAATAATATAAATGAAACAGATATGATTGGTTTTCTACAATATTTCAATATTATAAATGAAACATCAGATATGATTGATTTTTCTACAATATTTCAATATTATAAATGAAACATCATATATGATTGGTCATCCACAATATTTCAATATTATAAATTGTCACATGCAACGTAATATTACCGTAATTGGTATAGTACAGGTGTGATGGTTCAAATACCAAAATGGCAACAGTAACAGAAAGAGTTCCCTGGCGGCGATGATAAAATACGAACACGGAGCCAACAGATGAGGTTTCAACCGGTACTGGTATTATTTTACTCTGCAAACATCAAGTACAATAACGCGGTAAAACTCCAAACCTCCAATAACTAGATACTTAAACTCCAATACAATTCAACGAGATCTCCGATCTGAACTCAGTGCTGAACAACTCCCCTATATATACCCACACTGTCTATAAATAGACCATTACATCAGCATACATAATGAGTCTGGAACTTACTACCAATTTCTAGAATGTTCCATTACCTTCCATTGCCTCCTACAGTGTTCTATTACCTATTCAACCCGTTTCTAAACAAAATCTAGAATATTCCACCCAGACACAGTACGATTCTCAGTGACACGGGAGTGGTAAATAAGTCGTATGCGACATGCCTCCCCTCTCAAGAATATTATAACATATAATATTACATGACTAGCAACGACGTCAATAATACGAATACGATAACAATTTCAAATAAAACAACAATACAACATATCAAATCGAACTGAATAAAGCTCTGAGTACATAAATTCGAAAATCACATACAGTAGAATATAATAAAATATGAAATACAGTCATAAACGAATAACATTCTACTATATTGTTCAAAAGTTCCTCAGTCCATCAATCTACTCAGGTAGTCCGCTACCACATTGTCCCGTCCAGGAATATCCTCAACACGATAATTATATCCTTGCAGAGTCATCGCCCATCTCATCACTCGGTC